AACTGATCCCTTTGATAAATCTAAACAGCGTAATGAGAAGATGAAGATTATCTGAAACATGTCGTGATGTATTAGCGCTATACATTTTGAACTATCTGATCACACACATGAACTTGTCGTATTATTTATATGAAAATTTACTAAACGTATCAATGAATAGTAATGATGGATAATGGCTAGCAGTAGAGTCCAGGATGCACACTTCGTCCTATTTGGGACTCTTCAGCTGGATGTACCTGCCTTCCAGTGAGTAATAATATCCCTACCGGGACTGGAATTCGGGAGCTTCGAACACCAGAGCCTATTGCATCGTCGTTGATTGGACCGAATTGATCAGTCTCTGTCGACATGTGGGATCCTGTGCTGATGCCTCGATATTGCCTGTGTTTTTAATTATGTATAGTAATGATGAGTATCAATGAAGTTAATAGGAAACATAGGAATAGGAAGGGAGAAAATAAGAAAAAAGCGTTAGTCACGTAACTCTTGGTATGAAAATTAAAATCAATACTACCAAAGTAGGTCCAATGTGAGTACAAATTGCTTTTGTATACATAAAGCAAGGGGTTTGAATTTACGGATGACAAGAGCTTCAATCAATTAAAGCACTCGGCTCGGACCACTTTTATGTAGTAATTTAAAGGCTGTTTTCATGTTTATCCTCTGGTTAGCTTCTAGTATATGTTTAGCTATAGGATACGCTGGACATGGGAAAAGATCCGACACAATTTGGATTTCACCGATGATGATTTATGTCTAGTGTCACACATACTTGAAGATCTACAGGCGAAAACTAACAAGTTGACAGAAGAGGAAGGGCAACCAAGGAAGACGGGAATTCGAGTGAATGTAGAGAAGATAGAGGTGTTGAAGATACCCAACCAACCCAAAACAACAACAACAGCAACTAGCTTCAATCACCATCAACGGGAGAAACGTAAAGGAAGTAGTCTCTTTCACATACCCACCTACCCACCTACCTAGGCAAAGCAGCATCCTTTCAACTGCAGATGGCACAGGCACAGACGAGGACGTCAAAGCCCGTCAGGATCGGAAAGACAGCAAGACAGGTGTTGATCAACCTGAAACCAGTGTGGAGATCTTCTTCACTGTAGTCAGCATAAATTGAGAACAAGATCTGGATTTTCAAAAAAAACAATATCAGTCGTTAGTGCTTCTATGTGATGGTTGAGAGACGGCGCTTTACGATAGGCATTTCCAACAAACTATAGATATTCATCAACAACTGCCTACGCTGGCCCACTCGTTAGTGAAGATCAGATGGCCAGGATGATAAGAATAAGCAAGAAGGAACCCACTGTGAGAACGAACCAACCAAGAACCTATCACCCAACACATATACAGAAGACAAAAGTGGAGATGGATTGGGCGTACACTGAGAAGGCCGACTGGGGGCATCATGCGTCAGGCCAAGCGCATGAGTGGCATCCGAAGGGGAGACGACGAGCTAGGCCTCGCAGCTGAGGATGACATCGAGGATATCATGTGAGGAAGAAATGAAAGCTTGTCGGCAGTAGTGGAGCCAGGTTCAAAAGACTGGAGAGAAGAGAGTGGAATGGAGGTGTGCTACTGACGGGTTATGTTCCACTAGGAATCCAAGGGAAAGATAATAATATAGTATGCTGTAAGTTTACTAAAACAATAGAAAGGTGATTATGAGAACTAAATGAAACAAACTACGAAAGAAAATTTGAGGTGAAGTAGCTTGACAGAATGCTACTCATGTTAGCTATCATATTAGGTTAATTTGTGATAAAACTATTTCAGATTATAAGTATGAAGGGACATCTAGCTTATGGAATTAGAAAATTAGATTCCTTGGTGTACGTTTCTAAGAAATTTGTGAGTCCTGAATAGGGCTAAGGTAGTCTTAAAGACATTAGTTACTTTTTTCTAGCACATAACTCATATTGTTTGGTCCTGATTACTACTGCTTCTGTTGTCTGAAAGATTAACAGTCGGGTACCTTATGGCAAATTTATAAGAACTGGGTAAATAATGGAACTTGACTGGTTCATTTATTCCTTTTGGCTTTTTTGAACTAAGTATGCTAATATGAAGTCAGTAACCACGTTGGTAGATGTTTGTGAGGAAGGAAAATTCAGTTCCCAAATCAACGGCCAATTTAACTGGCTCCACAAGAGTAGTGGAACTGATTGGCACAAGAAGAAGAGACCAGTGTAGACAGTTTTTATTTCAGGTTGAAATTCATAATGGACTAACATCAGTTGGAGGAACATGAGAAACCTAGGAGCACTGGACAACCGCTTCGCCCTAGTAGAGGACTCCTTAAGAGTGCGCCCTCATGACCTCACCCTCCAGGGTTAGAACCCAGGACCTTCAGGTTCCATGGCCAGGACGTTACCATTGAGCCACTGGGTTGGAATCCAGTAGTCCATATTTCCCACTTCTGTCATGGGTGCGCACTGCTGATGAGTCGTATAGTAGGACGAAACGGCTGTCTAATGCTCCCAGATTCCGGATGTTTCTCCAAGTAGTGTCATTCCATGATGAATTCCAGCTTGAAGTTAGTTGATAAATCTCCACAAACCTCACGGTTGGATTCTTTTTTCTGTTTCAATATCCCCACCAGGGGTGTGAAAAATGTGATTTTTAGTTTATCAACATTTAAAGTTCTTTGAATTAATCTGCTTAGTTTGTGAATTTACATCTTGTTACTTATATCACCTCTTAATTGTACCCGAATAAATGGGGATTTTCTTCTAGCCATTGAAATATCTTTTCTTGCCGCTTTTATAATCATATTTTTCTTTATGACGTGATCATGATAACCATTTTCGATTATGTCATCAGTTCCTCCTTGTTTGTATCCATTATTTATGAAGCAGCCGGTATGTTAACTGTAATTTTTTAAAAATCTTTGAACATCTGTGCATTGAAAGTAGGAAAACCTTTGAAAAAAAAATTCTTTTTCGATTTCAGTATGCAGTTCGGTTTCCAAGTAAGGGATTTGAGTTATCTCAGACTAATAAATCAATATTTACGGTTACTACAACAAGTTTCATGTATTTTAGTCTCTTATTGATTGTTTTAGCAGTTATTAAACCTATTAGTTCTTAGTGTTATTGTTTGTATTATGCCGTCGTTGACTGGACCGAATTGACCAGTCTGTATTGGCATATAGGCTCCTGTGCGGATTCCTAGATATCACTCACTGGGAGGCAGGTACATCCAGCTGACGAGTCCCGAATAGGACGAAATGTGCATCCTGGATTCCACTGATAGTCACTATCCATCATTACTACACATGATTAGAACACAGGCAATATCGAGGCATCCTGCACAAGGGCCCATATGCCAACAGAGACTGATCACTTCGGTCTAATCAACGATGGTGTAATACAAGTAATAACACTAAAAAAACCATACCCATCGCATAAGAAGTGGCTATCGCTGGTTGGTGGTGTAGTGGATAACGCTCTTGCTTTTGGAGTCATTGCTCCAGAGTCCGAATCCTGGTGGGAGCATCATTACTCACTGTGAGGCAGGTACATCCAGCTGATGAGTCCCAAATAGGACGAAATGTGCATCCTGGATTCTACTACTAACCACTACCCATCATTACTATACTATTGGTTCTTGTTGACTTTTTATCTGAATTACCAGTTGTTACATGTGGTACAGCGAATCAGGTAGCGTTATTTCACGACCACAATGAATCAATGTAGACTTTTTACATGATAATTTTGAAAGGTATTACATAACAACTTAGTAACTTATTCTTGACTGAAGTAAAATATTCACTAACATTAATCATATATTTGAATTGATGAAGTTAGGTATTTTTCAGGATGTTTTTCTGCTGAAGAAGGAGAAAATTTGATTGACAGTAGAAAATATTTATTCTTAACATCTAATATAAACTCACCACTTCCCCACCATAATCTTTTATGCAGAATGAGTTAGCATTGGTAAAGATACGCTAATTATTACTTATACTGCTTAAGGTATTCGTAGGTTTTCACATTCTACATGAAACTCCAGTGAATATTGTCAAATAAGCTTACTGTGGGATGAGATTCATATGCTCTAAATCTCTTATTCACTTAATTTAAAAATTCTTTCCAACAAGCTGTCAGTATCCAGTACAAGTTGTTTGATATAGGTCCTACTGTCGACTTCAACATAACTTTCTAGACAATCAGTAGATAAAGTTCCAATAGATTGCTGGCTCTGATGAGCTCTGATAAGAGGCCATAACCTGTAGTGCCAACCAGACGAAAGTGAAGCGGATAACAGTCACGCTATATTACGAGCTGACAGAAATAGGAAATTGGAGACTACTGAACTCCGACCCAGTGACCGCATGGTTACTGAGTTCTCTACGAGACCTTAAGGTCATGGACTGGGTCCCCAGTGAGGTTGTTGACGCATACTATTGTGGAGCATCATTCTAGGACAAAACAGTTGCAGTGTTTCTGGGGTTTCAGTGGTTCTCTAACGCATATCAGTCAGTAATGAATACTACCTTAATAATCAAATCCCTATTCACCTCAAAATACAATATATTTTATTCTCTGTTTTCAAGCCTATCTGTTTTATTCTTCGGCCATTAATTCACTCAATTTATACATTATTTTTCTCCACCTTCAATCAGATTCCCTGTCACCTTGAACTGTAGTCATGCTCCCAATCTATTACTACGTTTTATTACGTATTTCAGTGATCAGTTAAATAGTATGATATAACCTGGTATTGATTGATTAGGTCGTGAGGTTTTTCATATAATAATATATTTCCTGTGAAGGATGCTTCTTGTGTTGATTTCACTACTAAACTGCACGTATTTGGAAGATTTAAATCATACAAAATGAATTCGACACATCTTGAAATGTTTCTTTGATAAAACACTGATGAAATTCGTAAGGGAAATTCACTGTATGACTGAAGATTACTTTCTTCAATGGATGTTCACTATTAATGTTACGTTATTTCTTCCCTTTTTTGTTTTATTCTAGTTACCGCCAACATCTCCTTCTTCAGTTACGATTCAACCGAATCCTGCCGAAGGTCATAAGGTAAGCAGGTGATCAAAATTTACATTTTATTATTTCTATCGAGTTTCAGCTGATTGCTAATTGCCATCATCTATGAAACCACACTTGTTCCGTACCACTGAGAACTGTGGGGAGTGAGAAGATAGGCATACGCTGGCTGGACCGATGGAAAGACCCTAGAATATTTCGATTTCGCCGATGATAATTTATGTCTAATATATTGCTGCATAAACTAGAAGACTTACAGAGAAAAAATAACCAGTTGGCAGAAGACGCAAGGCAGCGAAGACGGGACTTCCTTCAGATGAACGTAGATAGGACAAAGGTGATGAAGATACCCAATCAATAACAACAATAAGCACCAATCACCATTAGTGGGAGAAATCTAAAGGAAGTTGTCTCCCTCACCTACCTACCTAGGCAGAATCGTTTCAACCAAAGGCGGCACAGGCACAGACGAGGACGTCAAAGCCAGCCAGGATCGAAAAGACAGCAAGACAGGTGTTCATCAACCTGAAACCAGTGTGGAGATCTTCCGCACTGCATTGCACTACAGTACACTGAACTGCACTCAGCATAAAAAGTGAACAACATCCGAATTCTCAACACTAATGTCAGTCAAGTCAGTGCATCTATCTGATGGTTGAGAGACTTGGCGCATTACGAAAAGCATTTCCGACAAACTGGAGACACGCATCATCAGCACCTGCTGTCTACACTTACTCGATACTGAAGATGGAGATCAGATGGCCAGAATAATAAGAATAAGCAAGGAGGAACTCTGGCTGGCTGACAACGAACCAACCAAGAACCTTTCGCCCAACGAATATGCAGAAGAAAGTCGAGATGGATTGGATTCGATTGGACATACACTGAGAAGAAGCGCCAGGCCGTCAAGTGGGAACCGAATGGGAAGTGATGAGTTGGGTGTCTGAGGCGAAGATAACATGGAGGAGATGGTGTGTGAGGAAGAAATGAAAGCTTGCTGGGAGTGGTAGAGCCAGGTCGAAAAGACTGCAGAGAGCAGAGTGAAATGGTGACGTGCTACTGAAGCCATATGTTTCACTAGGAACCTATAGGACTAATAAGTAAATGACAACTGACAACTAGTACGATTACCTGAGGAGGCTGTAGTTTGGCATAGTGCGGCCACCATCAAACGATAGTAATGCGTCATAAATTTTTTGATAATAACCACATCTATACATTCAGGAAGAAGTACTTGAAAACTCTATTTCTTAAGAAGATATCTGGCTCCATTGAACAACTGAAGTGCACCGTGAAAACAATAAGTAAAAGTTATACTCCCTAGTAAGATAATTTATATGCATAATGAAATCAGTATACATAATTTAACACATTTTATTTGTTAGTTAGAGTATTTTTTACAATAATTATGAAATAATCAACTTTTAAAACATGTAGATAATTGTTTTTTGCTTGACAATTCCAGCGGAAGAAATTGATTTTTTACTCCCGTTGTTTAGTTAACAAACAAACTTAGTTATTTCAGTTAGCGAAAGGGAAATACTCTAGTAAGTTTGCTTGTATATACCACCTAAATAATACACCTCAGTCCTTTTTAACCTAAGACATCAATAGTCACCGCAAACTAGACTTTTTTTACGATTGACTCTAAAAGTCAGCACAATAAACAGTGAAATAATCAATTACACCTCCATTTTAATTTTATGTAAATCTACCTTTCAAGATGATTTAGACAAAGTTCATTGGCTATTCCAAACATTGCTAGGGCATCCTTTAAAGTTACTTGTTTTACTGCTACAAAGAGTGTGACACTGAAGACTATGCTAGAAACCGAGAAAATTACCAATAAGATTTCTATAAATTGGCTGTGATAGGAAGCGTCGTTAATCGATGTTTCATGGTACTATATGGGCAGGGAAAAGAATATCCTATAGCTAATCAATGAAAATAAGAATCCAACTTCTGACATAGTGGCTTTATTTTCTGTGAGTAAACTGTACATAAATGATGTTTTTTTTGTCGAATAAAGTTGTCCTACTTTCAGTCACAGGAAGGTCTTTGTTTCTGTTTTTTTGCAGCTCAGTGAAGTATCAGGTTCTGAGGGGCAACATTCTCTATACATGTCTAGTCAAAGCATCTCATTGCGTTAGTAGCTTTCTCGTATCTCGCATTATTCTCTCTGTCACTTCAGGCTGAAACGAAAGTGTTTTTTTTTAAAATAAAGCAACTTAATTGGTTATTTTAGAGTGAACTTAAGGGTTATTCTAGCAACTGTTGAAGTAGCCAATTACATTTCTCTATTCCATGAAAATCTGCCTTCTGAACCGAAACGGAGAAACCTAATTGGTTATTCCGATCGTTGCTAGAGTGTCCTTTAAAGGTTAGGTCAAGTACGAATATTTAGATTTACCGAAATACTTGTTATTCGTTAGTTTAAACATCTTCTATGTATTTACACTAAACTCACCCTGGTAGTGTTAGGTTCAACTCTCTTCATACTATTGATGATAATGATTTGATCGATTAGTATTATCATTATTTTACCTCTTTTGTCTTCGTTTTGCCCTTTTTATCTTTCCTAATCATAATTACATTGGCTTAATTAACCTTTCTAATGTTTATATCAAGTATTCGACAAGTTCATGTGTGATCAGGTTGTTCGAAATGTACAGCGCTAATACATCATATGGATATCCATCCAGATTTATCGATAAGAACTTGAAAGTAAGCGAGAATACGGAGCGAGTACTCACAGTTCCTAAGAAGACCTTGTTTATGAACGTTGTTTTTTAAAGGTGATACGGCAGCAGACATCCTGAAGAATCGGCTTTCCAGATCACTGAAGAAGACATTCTTCTCTGCGAAACTGCATATCAACTTCTCTTGTCAACAATTTATTCCGGAGTGCATTTAAGGACAAGTTGCCACTTTGGGCCACCTCGATATTTGTCTACAAATTTACTTGCTCCTGTGGAGCTAGTTATATAGGCCGCACAAAGCACACGCTTTCCAAACGTATCTTGGAGCACTATCCTGCATGGTTGTCGAGGGGAGAATGTACATCATATTGTTTCAAATAATCTCTATCCTCTCATTGCGTTGTTTAAATCTTTTAAAGGGACTACTTGTTTCAAATCTTTAAATTATGTTATCCAAATACTTGTTGTACAAACAAACTAACTGTACGAAAATATGTTATGTGGTTCATCTCCAACCCTGATAACAATTTTCTTGTGGATTGAAGTGAGTATTGTGATGGATTTGTGAGTTGTGAAATCATCATCCCCCGGGAAAATGACACATACCAGAATAAACGTTCTCTAAAAATCATGTCTCATGGATTGGACATACACTGAGAAGGCCCACTGGAGAAATCACGCATCAGGCCAAGCTCTCGATTAGAATCCAAAAGGGAAATGACGAGTTGAGCGTCCGATGTGAGGGTGACATGCAGGAGATCATATGAGGAAGAAGTGAAAAGTTGTGGGAAGTGGTGGAGCCAGGTTCAAAAGACTGGAGAGAAGAGAGTAGAATGGCTATATGCTTCTGAAGCCTTATGTTCCACTAGGAACCCAAGGGAAAATAATAATAAAAACCATGTTATCATATGTATGAGTTTCATATATACTTGTAGGACTAAATGCACATTCAACAAAAGGGCCAAAACAGTGCCAAGGATGCTGAAAGAACAGATACACCACGAAACTTTGTACACTTTTTGACTTTTCAATAAATCATCTATCGCTTTCCCGGTTATTTATGTTTCCAAGTAACATAGTTACCCTCAACGTGAATTTTGAAAGTTGACATACACATCAGCTATTCACATTATATCAACTACATAAGAAACTATCATGCTTCCTTCAGCAGAATGATATTCTATTTAACTTTGACCAATAGCTGATAAAGTGTAATCGTCTTAGGCCTGACTGAATAACTGAATAAACAACAATGTTAGCTAGAAGGAGAATAAAATCGCGATAGACTTTAATGCATAACCCTACAAAGATTAAACCTGCATAGTACGCAATTCCCTTTTTTAGCGACTAGGGGAAAGGATAAAAACAAAGTAAAAAAGAATACATGAATAGATGAGAAATTAGTCTGAAGTTTGATTCTGTAGGTGAATAACATCTTTGTAGATACTCGATTTGACTTCTCCTCGACTGAATAACACACTGATGAAATCAACGAAGAACCTCGTACGCAAATGCATCGGTTCAAGTTGCTAGACATGAAGAGCAGGTTTACAAAAAAAGAGTAGTATCGAATTAGATAAAGTTGTGTAAGAGAATAATGAATAATGAATACATCTGCACCATATTGTTACCAAGAGTCCTCAACTAGTGATTCCTTTCATCTCGATGACCCCCAATCAGACAGTCTACATCTCGGACCAACAGTCAGACACTTCATCGACTTTTGCCAGATCTTGGTTTGGCCACCCCAAACCCTGTTCCAAATTAATCCAGCTTCTCGCAACATTGCATGTTGAGGAAAGTAGTAGGTCAGTATGCGCAGCAGCTCACTTCCTGTCTTGCTCACATGATGATTCCATCAAACACGAGAAATTTTTGTGAAGACGCCTATGATCAAAACCTTGTAGTCGCTTCATTTCTTCTACTTTTATCAGCCTTGTCTCCCAACCGTATAACAGGACAGACTGAAATGCATAGTTATTGAAATAACCAATCAAATATCTTCATTTCATGTGAAAACTACCCCTTCAACCGAAAAACAGTCACCTAATTGGTAATGTCAGTGGTTGTAAGGCTAACTTTCAGAATAAATCAAAAATTTATCAATGTAAAGGTCAATCATGGTTTTATTCACATTCGTTCTTGTGTTGTCATGAATTGTGCCCGGGTGATTCGGGTAAATTTTCATTTAACTTGAATTGCCTCATCTTATAAGAATCTTTTGCAAAGACATTACTCAAAAGGTAAACAAAAAGTTAATTTTAAACAAAAACGTAAAACTTAATGCTTATCTGTTTTCCCCTAACTTCCACCTCTCTAGGAAATATACAGACATACTGACTTGTTAGATTATCTGTTCATAAGACGCAGTTGTTTGAAAGCATTACTCATTATCCTGACTACAAAAAATTAGTGGAGTATACAGCTGTCGATCTCAGTTGAACTGGTGCTCATTGGTGACTAGCTTTGAGAGGTATTCCCAAAGTTCCAATGAGAAGTCATGACCGGTGGGGGCAAAGCCTAATGATCGTGAGGACAGTTACTCAACAATGACATTCGGTGGCGGTTGCGCTATTTCGTAAGCTAACGTAAGTTGGAAATATGGACCATTGCATTCTGCTCCAATGGCTCAATGTTAACGTGCTTGCCACAGAACCGGAAGGTGGCGGGTTCGATCCATGGTGGTGCGTGGTCGTGGGTGCGCACTGCTGAGGAGTCCCATACTAGTCAGACGAAATAGCTATCCAGCGCTCCCAGGTTCTCGTTGTTCTTCCAACTGATATCAGTCCACGATGAATAACTACTTAAACTGCAAATGCTTTTTCCAACTATTTACCTTAATTCACTATTCTTCCAGGAGCTGTGATTCATTACGTCAAAGGGTTCGCAAGTTTAGCCAATGTGCAATGAGTTCGAACCTTATCGAAACCTGAGCAGCATGATAGTATTATTAGCCTTACTGTACAGAAACGCCAAGTTGGGCATCGACAAGGGTGACATGAAAGAGATCACGTGAGGAAGAAATGAAAGCTTGTTACCAGTTGTCGAGCCAGGTTGGAAAGACTGCAGACAACACAGTGAAACGAAGACGTGCTACTGAAGCCCTATCTACTATTAGGAATCCAAGGGAGGATAATAATAATAATGATAATAATAATAATAATAATAATAATAACCTGTAAAACTGCAAATTTATACATTTTTCTTGTGTAACGATTTAATAGTTAAAAAAGGATTGTCAAGTATGTCAAGCAACACAGTGTCATTAGATGAGCCGTTATTACAACCAACAACTCAAAAAGTGATGAGTTGTGAATATTCATGAAAATAAGTTTGAACAAGAAGTTTTGTGACATGACAACACAACTGGGAACCGAAGTGTGATTGGGCAGAGCATAGCAACGAGAATGTTCCACTTACTGAAACTATCTCAGTCTTATGCAGATAACAACATAAATGTTTGGATACCGACCCCCAACATTATGCACTTGTTACTTACATGCACATTCAATGTTCAGTTCACGTTTAACGACATGATCTACCAACAGAAAAATGAAACTGAGGTGCGATCCCCATTAGCTCCACTACCAGCACACTGCCTCATATCCAATCTCGAGAAATTACCCTCGAAATCAATGATTGAAGATTTTCAACTGTACAAAGGGTATATAGACAATACTTTTATTATCTGTGATCATCAATATGATTCCAACCACCTTCTACAAATATTCAATAACTACCATTCACCAATCAGACTCATCCTCAAGGTCGAAAATTGATCGAGAATTCACCTTCTTGATGTAGAGCTGAGATGAACAGCTGATTGAGCTTTAAGTAGATCAATTCAGAGAAAACCAATGTGGGATGGTCAACTGACGAAATTTACCACCTACATCTCTATCAGTCGTAAGCGAAATCTGATCATATCTCTTGTCACTCACATTACACGAATCTGCAGTCCCAATGTGTTAGAAGAGGAAATCTCTGTTCTAAAGAACATCCTGATTGAAAGCAGATTCCCATCACCCCTCATACACAGAAACATCAAGCGTAAACCTCGCAAAGAGAAGCTTACCACCGTACCAAGACAAGACACTGAATATGAATCTCAACTTGAACAGTGATTCTGCCACTGACACTACAAAACAGAGGATATCAAACGCTTTAATGTGGAACATTGTCTGTATCAACGCTGAGACTAGTATTCACTTGTCACCCAACCACATCTAACAACTCAAAGATGAAACTTTAACATCTGATCACTTCTGTGTGCATATATCGACTGATCTGCTCCAGTGGAGCTGGGTCTAAATGTCGTTCAATGCGACTGTTATCCAAAAGGGTTAAAGAGTCCTATTCTGCATGGTTACAGAGAGGTAAACATGGAGCGATAAGGAGTGCTATGACTGAATATATCGTGAACACGAATCACGCTACCTCAAGAACCTCCACGTTGGAAGTCATCAATAAAATAAAAGTAGACCTTCCAAAGGGTGTGAGTCTTTGTATTCTCTGCGTCACCGAAGCTCTTTCCAAGCATATGGAGAAACCTGAACTGTGTACACAAAAGAAGAATGTTCACCCCTTCTCCTTTCATGGTCTCAGCTTTCAGTCTCCTCCACACCCCTCTTCTCTTCTCTTCTCTTCTCTTCTCAGTTTCCTATTTGGACACTATTCACTTCTGAAGTAATTTGTTATTCATTCTCGTTGCTATGCTCTGCCCAATCACAATTCAGTTCCCAGTTGTGTTGTCATGTCACAAAACTTCTTGTTCAAACTTATTTTCATGAATATTCACAACTCATCAGTTTTTGAGTTGTTGATTGTAATGACAGCTCATCTATTGACACTATTTGTGTTGCTTGACATACTTGACAATCTGTTTTTAAGTATTAAATCGTTACACTAGAAAAATGTATAAGTTTGCTATTTGACGGTTATAAAAATGAAATATCTGGAGAGAGACTGTTCACTGAAATAATCACTTGTTCTTCTTTCATATACTTGGTTGACTGCATGACACTGAACTGTAATTATTCTATATTTATATTCTGGTAAACTATTTAGACATTCTGTTGTTGGATAGATGTAATTTTCCGTTGGTGTACTGCGTGTAATTGTTTCACCTTCGTTTAGACAATAATTTTCTAGAATCTACGATACAGACAGTGAAACATTAAATTCATTCAAGGAAAAGTTTCTGCTTTTATGAGTAGAAAATATTTTTGATCTGTATTTCGATGATGAATTGTTCTGTTTTCTTCAACTTTAATCACTAAAGTATACATAGTATTTATATTATTATTTGTCCTTTAGGTTCCTACTGGAATATACGGCTTCAGTAACACATAACCATTCCACTATCTTCTCTGTAATCTTTTAACCTGGCTCCACGACTGCCCACAAACTCTCATTTCTCCCTCACACACTATCTTCTCCATATAACCCTCGCCTCGCAAACCCAACTCGTCGTGTCCCATCCGGATTCCCCTTGAGTGCCTGACCCGACGCGTGATGTCACCAGTCGGTCTTCTCAATGTATGCCCAATCCAATCCACCTCCACTTCCTTCCACTGCATATTTGTTCAGCGATAGGTTCTTGCTTCGGTGGTTCGTTGTCAACCGGCCAGCCAGAGTTCCTTGTTGCTCACTCTTCTCTTACTATTCTGACCATCTGAGCTTCAGTGACGAGCCAGAGTAGGCATCAGTTGTTGATAAATATCCGTAGTTTGTTGGAAATGCTTTTCGTCACGCTCCAAGTCTCTCAACCATCATATAGAAGCACTGACTTGACTGATATCAGTGTTGTCCACGCTTTATGCTGAGTGCAGAAGATCTCCACACTGGTCTCAGGTTAATGAACGCCTGTCTTGCTTTTCCACATAGTATTTACTTTGATAAAATCTCGTTTATAATTGTTTTCATTATCTTTTACAAACATGAAATGGATAGTGTGAAAATATTTCATCCTCTTTGTCCACCCTAGCCTTATGGTGTTAGTTATGAATTGACTGCATTTATCGGCAGACGAATCGATGACAATCAACCGACAAGGTAAGTTGGAACGAAATGGTTCTTTTCCGTAAAAGTTTTAACCTAAAACTTCTTACATATGCATGAAACTACTGGTATTCATATACTGTTTGGAAAACTAATAATCTTAGCAGATTATTACTATTCATTGATATACTTGTAATTCTCTGTTATTTTGCTGGATCGAATTGTTCAACCTGTATTAACATATAAGATCCTATGCGGATGCTTAATATCCATTGTACAAGAGGTGGGTATCGTGCCTTCATGGCCTTGTGGATAAAGTCTTGGCGTTTGAAGCGATAGGGATTAGGTTCAAGTCTCAGTGGGAACAACTTCACTCACTGGGATGCTAGTACATCTAGCTGACAAGTCTTAAATAGGATGAGGCGTGTATACTGGTTTCCTCTGCTAGCCACAACCAAACAATTCTTAATACAGGTGTAAAACGTGGGCATTGTTGTAGAATTCAATTCCATATTATAAGACACAGTGTGATATAGTATTATTTACTTGATGACGTTTCGAGCAGAAATTATCATTGCTTATAGTCACACTTCAATCTAATCACACCATTTTACAAATCTGAACTTTATAGTTACGTCACCTCATATGACTTGCTCTTAATGGTAGTAAAATCTTCCAACACCTATATGGTGTGTGTGTGTGTGTCATTCCTGTTACATGTGTTGGGTGTTGATTCGATGAACAAGCATTCAGTAATCAAACTTTCTCTGTCTCCATCTGATTATATTCGATTTGAGTACAGTGGTTTTATCCCACCCACCCAATTGTGTGATTGTATGTTAATCCATCCATTGAAATAGTCGAGTTCTCTTCTAGTTTATTGATCTTATCCAGATATGTCATTCTATATTTAACTAAATTCCTATGTTCAGCTAATCTAACTGACCCCAACCGGCTAGTTTCATCTATATACTTGACGTCACATGGAATTTGACAGATTACATTATTTTGCATAATTGGTTCTAACGAATCTTTAATTCCTAATGGAATTTGTGGTATAATTAAAGTTCATAAGTCAGGTTACCTTATTAAATCAACAGTAGACTTTAGAAACGTTCCAATTTATCAGTTATCGAGAAAACATTTTATATCTAGAATGACTCGATGCATAGACTACATTGGATACATTTACATAGCAATGAATAGATGATTTATTTTGATGTAGCCAGTTTGTATACTAATGTACCGATTGGCATGGCTTCAATAGTAGTTAGAAATGAGCTCAGTAATAACTACGAGACTACACTACGAACGAAGGTAACAGTAGATGAGATCATGTTAGGAGTATTATTATTATTATTAGTCCCTTGGGTTCCTAGTGGAACATAGGGCTTCAGTAGCACGCCTCCAGTGACCTCTGTTCTCTGAGATCTTTTGAACCTGGCTCCACGACAGCCCAGAAGCTCTCATTTCCTGCTCGCACGACCTCCTCCATGTCACCCTCGGACGTCCAACTCGTCGCTTCCCATGGGGATTCCACTCGAGGGCCTGACGCGTGATGTCCTCCGTCGGCCTTCTCAGTGCATGGCCAATCCATCTCCACTTCTTCCTGCATATTTGTTGCGTGATAGGTTCTTGGTTGGTTCGTTCCCAGAGTTCCTTGTTGCTTATTTTTTCTGGCCATCTGATCTTCAGCAGCGAGCGTAAGCAGTTGTTGATGAATGTCTGTAGTTTATTGGAAATACCTTTCGTGACGCGCCAAGTCTCTGAGCCATACAAGAGCACTGACTTGACGTTGGTGTTGAAAATCCGTATCTTGTTCCGCATGCTGAGTGCAGAAGATCTCCACACTGGTTTCAGGCTAATGAACGCCTGTCTTGCTTTTCCGATTCTGACTTTGACGTCCTCGTCCGTCCCGCCTGTAGTTGAAACAGTGCTTCCTAGATAAGTGAAGGAGGTTACTTCCTTTAAGTTTCTCCCGTTGACGGTGATTGGAGTTTGTTGTTGTTGTTGTTGATGGTGGTGGTGCGGTATCTTCATCACTTCTGTCTTCTCTATATTCACCTGAAGTCCCGTCTTAGCTGCCTCTTCTGCCAACTTGTTAGTTTTTGCCTGCAGATCTTCAAGTTTGTGTGACATTAGGCATAAGTCATCGGCGAAATCCAAGTCTTCTAGGTTCTTTTCCGTCGTCCAGTGTATCCCCCTCTTCTCGCTGCCTACTGTTTGCTGCATGATCCAGTCCACCACAATCAAGAATATCATGGGGGATAGTAGGCAACCTTGTTTCACTCCTGTCTTCACTTCAAAGGCATCACTGAGCTTCCCATTGTGGATTACTTGGCATGTAGCATCTTCATATAGTTGTTGAATGAGGCGGATAAAGGTTTGCGGTACTCCGTAGTATTGAAGCAGTTTCCAAATTACTTCTCGGTCGACGCTGTCAAAGGCCTTCTCAAAGTCGATGAAGTTGAGGTGGAGAGGTGATTGCCATTCTATGCTCTGTTCTATGATGATACGAAGCGTTGCAATTTGGTCTGCACATGATTTGTACTTCCTGAAGCCTGCCTGTTCCGGTCGTAGTTTTGAATCCAGTGCATCTTTAAGCCTCTCCAGGATGATGCGGCTTAATATTTTACTTGGGGTGGACAGGAGAGTGATTCCGCGCCAGTTCTTGCAAGCACTGAGGTCTCCCTTCTTCGGCAGTTTGACAAGGTAACCCTTCTTCCAATCGTCAGGTACCTTCTCTTCCTTCCACACCTTCTGCAATAGTGGTGTGAGCATGGCCGCTGTTGTCTCTGCATCTGTTTTCAGTGCTTCTGGCGGTATTCCATCTGGTCCTGCTGCTTTCCCGCATTTCAGTAGCTTTATGGCGTTCAGGACTTCCATTTTCGTTGGGGGATTAATGTTCACTTGTAGTTCAGCGGCTGCAGGTGGTATTTCTGGACGAAGTGCAGGTGGTGGTCGATTCAAGAGCTTCTTGAAGTGGTCGGCCCATCGTTTCCTCTGTTTCTCTTCTTTCGTAATTAAATTTCCTTCTTCATCTTTTATTGGTTTCATCTGTGTTGGTCTCTTCCCTGATAGCAACCTGGTTATTTGATACAATGTCGTCAGGTCTCTCTTACCTGCAGCCTGTTCTGCTTCACTTGCCAGTGTTTCGTAGAAGTGTCTTTTGTCTTTGCGTGCACTCTTCTTCACTTCTTTATCCAGTGTTTTATACATTGTGCTCAGTTCCTCTTGTCGTTGAGCATCCTTGCACTGGTTTATCTTCTGCTTCACCATCCTCCTCTCCTCTATCAGCTTCCAGGTATCCGTCGAGATCCATTCCTTGTCTTCTTTCTTCTTCCTTCCTAATACTGTTGTGCAGGTTTCTTTCCACATAGCTTTCAAAGACTTCCAGTGTTCTTCCACACAGGTTTCTTCAGGGATGTCCCTCGATGTCTCCCATTTTGTCTTGATGGCTGCTTTGAAGATCTCCTTTGTAGTTTCATCCTTCAGTTTCCGAGTGTTGTACTTGGGTTGAGGTCTATCACCAGCTTCCTTGAAGGCTTTTAACTTGATTTGGAAGGTTCCTTGCACTAGGTAGTGGTCTGAACCTACATCTGCTCCTCTTCTTGACCTTGTGTTAAGTAGACTGCGTCTCCATTTTCTTGAGATTGAGATAAAGTCGATTTGATTTTTAGTGTGTCCATCTGGTGAAATCCATGTCGCTTTGTGGATATCTTTGTGCCTGAACACACTGCCTCCAATCACCAAATCGTTGAATGCGCAGAATTCTGCAAACAATTCTCCATTCTCATTCATTTCACCTAGTGCCTCTCGACCCATGGTTAGTTCTCTTCCCGTGTTGTCCCCTCCCAGTTTGGCATTCATGTCGCCCATCAGAATTTTGATATCGCCAACTGACGTCTTGTCCAGTGTTGATTGAAGTTGTCTGTAGAAATCCTCCTTTTTCTCTTGCTCTGCATTATTTGTAGGTGCATAACATTGTATGATTGTGACCTTTCTTCCTTTTGAGTTGAATCTTGCTGTCATGATCCTGGAGGAGATTGGTTCCCACTGCATGAGAGCCTTCGATGCTCTTGAGGACATCATGATAGCCACTCCCTCAGTGTGCTCGTGGTTGGCGTCTGGGTGACCGGAGTAGATTATTGATTCTCCAGTTGACAGTTTGGAGAGTCCACTCCCATTCCATCTGCTTTCGCAAATCCCAAGCACTTCGATGTTATACCTTCTCATCTCCCTTGCAATCTGGGCTGCCTTACTGGGTTCAAACATCGTGCGGACATTCCATGTCCCCACGTTTACTTTCGCTTTCATCGAGAGAAGACACATCGGCCAATTGGCTTCCCGAAGGCTTTCACCAACTGGCGTCATTTCGCCTCTCCGATTCCAGCGGGGAATAAGTTTGTTTTCATTTTTTATATTTTGTTTGTGCTTTGAAGTTTCTTTAGCGGTTAGATTTGTTTTACGGGGTAGGGTTGCTAGCCCTATGCCCAACCTTCCCTCTTTACCCGGGCTTAGGACCGGCTAGTAACTAGTAAACTAGTTAACCAGGCGAGGTTATGTTAGGAGTATAGCTGTATTTAAGTTTCAGAATAAAATATACAAGAGAACAGCAGTTGCCGCGGAATCACCAATATCCTCAATCGTAACAGACATATTTGTGGATAGTATGGAAAAGATGACATCAAATTCACAATGGAAAAAGAGTCAAACAATTAACTACCATTCCTGGATGTTCTAGTCAGCAGAACAAATCCCAGAAAGCTGGAAATCCAAGTGTACAGGAAGCCAACACACACTGACCAAATCCTCAACTACAATACCAACAACTCAACAACACACAAAATCAGTTGCGTGCAGACTCTATTGAAAAGAGCGAGAACATACTGCACTGCATTACAACAACTTCACAGAGAAACGAAAAAAATTACTTGATGTCCATCCTACAGAAGAACACCTACCCACGAAACATTATCAGAAGATGCCTATCCCGTACATCATCGACTGAAATCAATAAACACATCATCCTACCATACATAAAGAATATATCA